AGTACCAAGCTGTATGCTAATTAAATGAAATTCATGATATTAATTCATTTTTTTTCAGGGAGATGCAAGTTGCTCCTACCTCCCTATCTACAACAGTGCTCACAGTCCAGTTTTAGCATTTTTGGGCTACATGGGCTTATATTTGCATCGTCTAACATTTTGTTTTATATTCCAAACTCCCAGTCGTTTAGTATTCAGTTGGACAGCCGTAAATTTAGATCTCTGACCAGATGTTCTGGATTTGTTATCTGTTATCTCAATATGTAGGACACCAGAGAAATGTCCCTATTAGCACAGTGTGAGCGCATCATTAGACTCACACTGTGTAAAATAAACTCTGCAGGAATTTCCTTTTCACCATTCATCATAATTCTCTGTATAATGAATAAACTCCTATAGTTGTTTTAAATAGGAAAACTTCTTCACCTTTTCAGAGATACAGTAGAGACATCTAAAAGCAGAAGTGCTTGAGACAGCAGTGACAAAAATGCAAATATTTGTGTTAAAGTTGCTGTTTATTTAACACAGTGGTTCTCAACCCAGTCCTCACGACCCAGCAACAGTACAGGTTTTTTTCAATATCTCCAATGGAATAAAAAAGAGGAATACACAAATCTGGATTCTTGGTGGCTATGTTGATTGGTTTGGGATCCACTGATTGAACAGTATGTCTAGCAGGGTTCCTTACAGTCATCTGCTACAATGCAGCCTCTCAGATATGGTGGACAGGGATGTATTTACCACAAGGCAAACAAGGCATTTTGCACTTTCAGGGGGGGCGCCAAAAAATGCCATCCCAAGCTCCCAGACAAATGCCTTGCTTGCCTTGTGTTCTGGGGCTGTCCACCTTATTGTGAGTGAGTGTAGCTGTCAGTATGTGTCTGTGAGTGAGTGAAAGTGTGTGTGTCTTTCAGTGAGAATGGGTGTGCCTGTGAGTGTGTGTATGTCATTTTATGTGTATCTGAAAGTGTGTGTCTGTCAGTGAAAATGTGTGTTGGTTAAACAGTGTGTGCCAATGACTGTGTATCTGTCAGTGAGTGTATATCAGTGCACGTATCAATGGGGGTATGTATCTGTCAGTCAAAAAAGTGGCCTTGACACGAATTGGGGGGTCAAATTTAGATTTTGGGGGTGCCCGAATTTAGTCGTGCCTAGGGCAGCACAAATCCAAAATACACCACTGATGGTGGAACACTCCCTATTCTGTAAATTGTGAATTTAAATGCTAATTTGCAAATATTACTCCTTGTCAATCATTGTTGTAAGCTCTATCCTTTCAATTGGCAGTCAACATAGAAAAAGCATCCAGAGAAAAGAGAAATGGAACAATGGGGTTATGTATAAAAAGTAATGCTGTTTGTTGTGTTTCATGTTTGCTCCAATATTCAATATTTTCCCTATGCTCCAAATTCTCCATGTTTGTGCCCTTGCCAGTTTTAAACATCATTATGCCATTTTGAATAACAGTGTTGTTGAACTTTATAAAAAAAAAGGGGGGGGGGGGGGGAAGGTACAACAGTGCACCCTTTCTTCAACACAATTTTACACTCTGTCAGAGTGGGGGATATTTTTAAATAATATTACAAAATTTCAATATTTTAAACAATATCCTTTAGATAGCAAAATCAAATTTTATTTGATAGTAATATTACTTATTTAGTGGTTAAAATAAAAAAGGACAAAAGAGCACACAAATGGATTGCAATATCACTTTTTACATCTTTAATATACATTTAAACAGAGACAGAACACATGGTGAACAAAGTTTACACAAACTATGGGTTATTTTCAATATTCCATCCAATGGTTTAATTTGACAGTTTTAAGTGACAGTTCCACTTTCAGATATGTGTGATCCGTTTGATAGGTTCCCTATTGTAATGACATGTTTTTTCCACTTTAGTGAAACTTTTTCCCAGGTTGCATCTGTGATAGCTTGTGAGATTTTGCTTCCTTGTAAATTGACTGATTGTGGTTACACCTTCTGCATGTCCTCCATAAGGCACTGTACTCATCCTTTCTCCCAGGCCCATCTAAAGTGAGTTGCGAACAAATACTACGGCCTAGATTATGGGATTCTGAGTTGTCAGAATCAGATGTAATTAGGAGGGATGGAACCAGGGATTTGTGCACCAGTATTCTGTCAAGTGACTTTCTCATGTAAGGTTTATTTTAAAAGTTCCTCTTCAACGCAATCTAATAAAAAAATTGGGGGGGCTGAATGTGCTGCTGTGGGTTTATAAAAGGCAGTTAGTTTTGCCTCAGTTATAGGTGTTTGGCTCAAAGCATTGTCCAGAGATACTTTAAAATCATATTTTCATGATTCAATGTGTGTGCACACACACACACACACACGGTCACTGACTGTGTTCAGGCATTGTGGGACATTAGGACCTGACTTGTTTTTTTGTTTTTTATTTAACTAATACCTAAATTATAGTTTGCTATATCAACCTGATGTGGCACCTTTTATTTACAGAAATGCCCTCAGTCTGCAGATCTATTAGAAACAGTTATAACTGCATTGTCAAAAGTGTTCTAACAAAAATCAAGGATGGTTGGTAAATACAATATTTCTGACATCCTTAAAAAGACACTATAGTCACCAAAATAACTTTAGCTTTTGGTATATAGATAATGCCTGTGCAAGCTCACTGCTCATTTCTCTGCCATTTATGAGTTAAATTACTTTGTTTATGCATCCCTAGTCACGCCTCCCTGCATGTGACTTACACATGCTTCCTAAACACTTCCTGTAAAAAGTCATCTAATGTTTACACATCCTTTTTTGCAAATTCTGTTTAATTTAAAATTTCTTATATCCTGCTCTGGTAATCACTTGCTGGACCCGGCAGGAGCCTCCTGTAAGTAATTAATGTTCACGTATGTTACATCTGCTAGAGAATGAAACCATTTTCTTTTCATGCAGGCTGTGTCAGTCACAGTCAGGGGTGTGGCTAGGGCTTCATAAACAGAAACAAAAGTGAGTTAACTCCTAAATGGCAGCAAAATGAAAAGTGAACTTCAGAGGCCTGATCTATTCACAAAAATTGCTTCATTAAGCTAAAGTTGGTTTGGTGACTATAGTGTTCCTTTAAGGGACACTCCAGGCACAGATACAACTTTTATACATTTGATGGATTTTGGCCTCTTTAATATGCTCAGTGGCAGAACTACCATGGTCACAGGGGTTGCAGCTGCAGCCTGGCCCGGCTGCCCTGTCGATGGACTGATGGACAGAACTGGACTGATCACTCAGGAAATCCAGGGCCAGCAAAACTTCAGGGCCGGTGCCTTGGGGCAAGCTGTGGCCTGGTGACCAACATTGCATATAGCACAGTGCTCTTCTGCCAGTCACTGCATGTAGCATTGGCGAATGGACTGCAGTCTGCAAGGAAGTGCTCACTGAGAGAAATAAGCACTTCCTATCAGACTGGGTATCATGGTCTGCTAGCAGGTGAGCAGGTACAGGAGGTAAGCATGGAGGTGAGCAGGTATAGGAGGGGAGGGAGATGAGGGATAGACACATTGATGAGCAGGAGGGAATAATACACATGTAGCGAATGGGGGGGGATGAGAAACATGCGTGGGCCCCAGGGCAATTTTCGCACCAGCCCCAGTGCAATTTTCGCACATTGGTTTCTAGTTATACCTTTTAATATGTGGTATTTTTTTTGAAAGCTCAAATCTTTATAGTTTTTGCACAAAATAAATATATGTTTAGCAGAATGCTGCACCATAAGCCTGCCTCCTTAGCCACACCTTCTTTAAGCCGGAAATACTTCCTTATCAAAGGTATGCACACAGTCTCAGCCCCAACAGCACTGAGTGAGCAGTCTGGCTGCAAACAGACATAGAAGCTACAAACAAGTAGTGATATCCTTACTGAAGCCCTCACAGGGTCCTCTCCTAATGTTGTTTTGTAGTTCAGACCATTCAGTGTGGTCTGTGGCTGAGCAGTGTGCATACATTTGATTAGGAAGTCTTTTCTGGCATGAGGAGGTGTGGCTAAAGAGGCAGCTTTATGGTGCAGCTTTCTGCAAAACATGTATTTGTTTTATTGCAAAACTATACTGAATTGAGCATACATAAAAATACAGCATATTAAGGAGTTCAAAACCTATCAAATGCCTTACAGTAGTGTTGGTGCACAGGGTGTCCCTTTAAATCCATTATTCATACATAACTGTTTTCAAGATGGAAAATGAGATAGTAACAAGAGTAACAGTAAGGAATAAAGGGGAAATACCCCACATTTTACTTTAGCTTATTTACAATTATATACAGTGTAATGATTTCTACCATTGTTCTTTATGACTTCTATAATTCTTCTTTATTGGGTATACAGAACCAAAATGATTTTTAGATCAGAAACATAGAATGTGACAGCAGATAAGAACCATTCGGCCCATCAAGTCTGCCCAATTTGTTAAAGGACCACTCTAGGCACCCAGACCACTTCAGCTTAATGAAGTGGTCTGGGTGCCTGGTCCAGCTAGGGTTAACCCATTTTTTTATAAACATAGCAGTTTCAGAGAAACTGCTATGTTTATTAATGGGTTAAGCCTTCCCCCAAAGCCTCTAGCGGCTGTCTCATTGACAGCCGCTAGAGGCGCTTGCGTGATTCTCACTGTGAAAATCACAGTGAGAGCATGCCAGCGTCCATAAGAAAGCATTGATAATGCTTTCCTATGCGACCGGCTGAATGTGCGCGCAGCTCTTGCCGCACGTGCGCATTCAGCCGACAGGGAGGAATGGAGGAGGATCGGAGGCAGAGAGCTCCCCGCCCAGCACTGGAAAAAGGTAAGTTTTCCCCCTTTTCCCCTTTCCAGAGCCGGGTGGGAGGGGGTCCCTGAGGGTGGGGGCACCCTCAGGGCACTATAGTGCCAGGAAAACGAGTATGTTTTCCTGGCACTATAGTGGTCCTTTAACAGGTTTTTTTCGTCTTTTCTACATAGATTCTTGAGAGTGAGTTGTATCCACAAATACTTAATATTTTCAAGAAAATAATTTTTTTAAAGCTAATTTTGCACCCAATAGAATAACAATCATAAGGCTCTGTTAACCTCAAATGTTGTCTGCTAGAAAAGCAGGTTATCTGCTTTAGGCAAGTATGACTTGCAGTTTGTTCCACTTTGTCAGAAGGCTCTACTGTGAAAGCAATGTGAAAGAAATGTTAGAAAGATAATATATTTTGCAGATTATGCCAGAACTGTTTGAGGCATTGCTTCCTGTAAAAATTACTGGAATAGTTTTCTTAATAAAAAAAATCACATATAAATTGTATTAAAAATATGTCATTGTGTAAAATGAAAAAGTTGCAGAATGTGGTGATTTTTTTCTAAACTGTTAAAATGTATTTTTGCTCTTTTAATGGGCAATTATAATAAAATAAAATTTGCACAACTCATCGTTTGTTATTGTAATGGTTGTTTGACATTAGTCCCATGCACACTTTGCAGACACAAAGGACTTGACACAGACGTGAATAGCCATGGCTTGTAGATTGCTGGTCTTGAGTACCCAAGAAAAATGTCACAAATTAATACATAATTATTTTGCTAACAAAAACGCTTGAGCCGCAAAGGCACAACTGCACAAATGGTAATTTGTCGTTCAACTGCCAGCATTCAATGTAAATAATATAATTTGTGAATACCATGAACAAAAAGCTATTTGCACAAAGACATAGAAGGTCTTCTATTATACTGTTTGACTTAAAGGAACACTATAGTCACCTACATTACTTTAGCTAAATAAAGCAGTTTTAGTGTATAGATCATTCCCCTGCAATTTCACTGCTCAGTTCACTGTCATTTAGGAGTTAAATCACTTTGTTTCTGTTTATGCAGCCCTAGCCACACCTCCCCTGGCTATGATTGACAGAGCCTGCATGAAAAAAAACAAAAACTGGTTTCACTTTCAAACAGATGTAATTTACCTTAAATAATTGTATCTCAATCTCTAAATTGAACTTAAATCACATACAGGAGGCTCTTGCAGGGTCTAGCAAGCTATTAACATAGCAGGGGATAAGAAAATCTTAATTAAACAGAACTTGCAATAAAGAAAGCCTAAATAGGGCTCTCTTTACAGGAAGTGTTTATGGAAGGCTGTGCAAGTCACATGCAGGGAGGTGTGACTAGGGTTCATAAACAAAGGGATTTAACTCCTAAATGGCAGAGGATTGAGCAGTGAGGCTGCAGGGGCATGTTCTATACACCAAAACTGCTTCATTAAGCTAAAGTTGTTCAGGTGACTATAGTGTCCCTTTAATTCATTTGTTCAAGTTTGAAGTAATCCATGGAAGACCCACCTACAATGATATTCATTCATAGAAAAATCAAAGTAATAAAGCCATATTGTGGTTTCTTTTATCTTGTGTGTATTTGTGATTTTGATTTTTTTAAATAAATGTTTTATTGATAGTTCACATCAGTACATGGAACAAATGGTAGCCATAACTACACAGTATATGTGGTATAAAAAAAGAGAACATTATTAGAGATATGCAAAATGTGTCCTTGCATAAAGGAAGAAAAAAAAAAACAAGAAAGTAATCAGATATGAGTAGAATATGTTATGTTAGCCATAATAATAAACTTTGATATGTTCTACCAATCTGCAATGATTTAAACGAGAGAAAAATATGTATTAAATAAAATTAGAATAAATATATTTGAACTATTACAGTTGTTCACTTTCTTATTTTAGATTTTCATTCGGCCGCACCAGCACCTCTACTTTTTTTTTTTTTAAGAAAAAAAAAAATCTAATCCGTCAGGCAAATAACCACAAAAGGTACTTCCTATTACAGTTCTGCATTCTTTGGAAGCAGATTCTAAATTAAAATAGATAGCACTGGCAACAGAATTTGTCTATACATCCTCATATTTCACTTTGAAAATTAATCATTCCGTTAAGCATTTTTCTTTGAAAAACACCCTGAATTAAATCTTGACAGGTTGATCACAGGAGCTTATTAGAGTTAAAATAACTTTTATTTCTACTTTCTTACATCACGCAAAACCGGGAGCTAGTCAGCAAATTATTGGCTCTAATTGCCTGCGAATATCACGAGCAGCATTTTTTGTTCATAACTGTTAGAGGGGGTGAAACGTTGTGATTTAATTCAAATATGACCATCTTTACACCAAAAAACTGTCAGATCTTCAAGTTATAATTAACGTTAATTTCATTATAGCACGGTTTGATTGAGAAGGAAAAAAAAAAAGGATATTCATCTCTTTAGGAATATTGTTTAATAGAAATAAAATTTTAGTGACAGCAAGACTTAAATCTATTTTAAATGGTTCATCAGTTTAAACATTTTTTATGGGAACCAATGTCCTAATTATGTGCAACTTGCTATTGGCATCTGACCAAAGCTTTTTACGCACAATCTCCCAACAGATTAGCCTTAATTCTCTTGGAAGAAAGCCAAATCCATCTTAGAATGTGTAAATCAAATCTATAACATGCACCAAAAGCAAACTGGGGGCTATTCACAGAACTTTGGATACTGCACAATAAAATTTCAAATCTCTGGTGAAAATATACAAGCCAGAAGAAGGTTTTTGGATAATATTTTTTTGAATAATTTTCTTTTTTCCCTATTTGCTTTATATCCTTATTATATCCCTCCCCCTGTGATTTCCCTTTTCACTTGAATGTTTAGTCTGCGCAGAGACCTCCATGAGCTCACATGGATTATTTTTTTTGCGTCAGGTTTTTCCTTTTTTTTTGCGTATAAGATATTTTGTTTAAGATGGCCGCTCTCCGGACACATAAGCAGGGACTGGAAAACCGGTGAAACATCTCCCCCCCCCAGGAACGGCGGGGGTCATCCCGGTCCACACAAAGCAGCCTCACTCACCTTGCTGATAGCAGGCGGCAGATACCGCACAAACCTGAGCGATGACACTACCACCTAAAATGGCGGAAGTACCCTCTCCACGAGGCAAGCGGCAGGACGGGTGCGCTACGATAGACCGCATGCTACAACACCTGGACGAGATATTTGACAGTTTCTGGCGGCGGCTGAAGGTACGAGCAAAAGCACCAGCTGGGGGACAGATGACCAAATGGAGGCAAACAAGAGAGGGGGTGCGAGAGGCCACGTCGGGCACAACCACCCAACAAACACCCAAGCCGCACATACCTAGCCCACCCAGGCAGAGAGCAGATAAGGTCTCCCACCATAGCTGCCCCCCACAGAGGCATAAGCACAGACACTGCAAGAGACAAACGATCACTCAGAGCCTCAGCCGACTCTCGGTGAAGAAGGACTTGGACCCGTTCCAGAGACCTCAACTCAGGGGTATAGTGATACAGGCACCCAGAGAGGTGAGATGTCGAGCGCAATCCACGCCTTGAACTGCCACAGAGAGGAACCCAGGAGAACCCAGTAGCACCCAGTGACTTTACGGCTATACCAAGCCGAGGCACCGGCTGACAGTGCCACATGTCCCTGAGCACGGTACCCGTGTCCCCCTTCAGGACATGCTGCTATATTTAAGCCAGTCTGTACCCAGACAGACAATATGTTATAGTTAATTTTATGTTTGAGCGATTTTTAGTTGCCTGCCTATGCATACACTTGCTACACAAAACCTGAGGCGTTCCAGGGGTTAAACCCGCTACTAGCCTGTTAGTATATACCTAGCCTGTTATTATATATCCAGCTAGCACGTCATGCATTTTAGTCAGCATCAGCAAGTCTAGCATAGTCTACATATCTGTAAACGTGTCTCACAAACTCTTGCTACAATACCTTGAACATTCACGCATGTCTATTAATTTAATATAAAATTGTGCACATCCACCCTATTACCCCGATTGTATAGCTTGATATAACGCTAGAGGATTGCCGTTGGGGTACCTCGAGCTTGTCTGTACCTATCCTTTGCACAGCAAAAATATTAAAAAAATTATATATATATATATATATATATATATATCTCAAGAGAATTTGATGTAAAATTATATATTGTCAAATTCAAATGAATGACAGATTTGCTTCAAAGGAAACATCTCAAAGTTGTAACATCATTGCCCAAATCCATGTCATTATGCATCCTGTGGGATGTGTGTGTTTCAAATAGAGAAAAAGTACAATGTATCTGACATCCATAAGTAAATATGTCTGTGTGCAAAACGCTGTGGCTACATATTACCCTCCAAGCACGTTCCGTCAAAGTCGGAAAATATAGTCTTGCAATAGAAATGAAAAACAAATATAGCTTTAAATATTGATTTATTTTTCCACTCTACATTAACTTAAGCTCGAGACAGTTTTGGGTGCTAGCCAAGAAAGAAAAGTAATTATTTTGTATTTTAGTATTATTTAGGAAGTTGCTGAAATAATCTAGTAATTTATTAGATCAAGCTACTGTTACAATATCAAACCCAACATGCAAAGAATGAATGCGCCGTATACAGACTAGGACAAGACAACGTAACACTGGTCCTTAGAAGGTGGCCAGACCTAACTTATAGGAGCAATATAATAACCATAAACAATCCAAAGTCAAAAGAAGCCAGAGATCAGACAAACAAGGAAACAGAACTGAGTCAAGAAAGACAGAAGTAAGATTAGTCAAGTGGAATGCCAAGCCAGGATACAAGAGAAACAAAACTGAGTATAATGTGTTATTGGGATTAAACAAGAACCACAACAGGGCAAAGCACATGGACTTTAGTATATATAGCTAATGAGATCCTGCATCATTTTTGCATGGTCAGAACATGCAGTATGATGCCAAAGGAATTACACAGGTTGTTCGGCACTATTAAAATGACACATGGTAGAAGCTTTATAAAATGATGCAGTTATGGAGCATCTGCTGTCAGAAATGATGCCCTTTGATTTGATATGGTGTCACCATTAATCCATTCATGCATGGAGGACATGCTGCATCAAAAGTGATGCAAAGAGGACGTATGATGTCAAAAGTAATGACAGAAAGACGAGCGGTGTCATAAATGGTCGCTAGAATGATGCTCACGTAGAGATGCGTTGCAAACATATACAGGTAACCCGATGCAGAGATCGACACGGCACTACCATGGATGCGAGGAGGGCAGGTGGCGTCAAAATTAAAACAAGGAGCGCACACGGTGTCAGAACGGGCACAAGAATGACACTCGTGAAGAGATGTACTGCAGCCATATACATGTAACTTCACAACAACAGTTCTTTCAACATACCATTTAATGAGTTACTCTAAAATATGAAATAGTTAAAAAGCATGTGTATGTTGTTGACTTATCGGAGGTAGAATAAGAGATATGGAGGATGCTGTATTTAGGGATACAAATACCTAAGGCATAAAAGCAAGAGCATAATATGTGTGTTCTGAGAATCTCTTTGTCCAGTATGAGCACAAAGATTTCTGGGAAAAGAATAGTTCAATTAACAACAGGCTCTGCTCTGTCCCATTACTGCGGGTAGCAAGAAGCGTGATAATTACAGACGATTAAACAGGAAGGATCAGGAGATTTTCATTTTCCTCTCTGTTAACAATTTTTCTTTCAATGTTGGTTCTAATTCAAACTTGAATACAGATTACCCAATCTGATATGTTTTTAAAATGTAAATTAAAAGTGCAGAACAACATGTTTTTCATAGATAAAGGCTATTATCTAGTTTAATCTACCTGGTACTTCAACCAAGTGTGCCAATAACATCACAAGGACGGTGAATTTGCAGCATCATCTGGTATTCAAAACATGTTTGTATAAGGGAAATCTGACATTATCAGAAGGGAACAGCCCATGTGTGGTAGGTTTCAAAACTCATGCAGTATCACCAGGGCATCTGCACCAGGGCCCATCATGTGGCCCAAGCATTTAGGGCCACCCGATGAGCCCTATATCTTCAGGGGCCTGGTCAGTGCTGCGGCCGTGTAATAGCGCGACCGGGCCCTTTTAAAAAAAAATTGCGGCTGCAAGTGCTGCTGGGAGGAAGTGACGGCCGGTCACTTCCTCCCAGCTTACTCCGCGCGGGGGAAGAGGAGAGGCATCCGCTCCCATCATCCCCAGCCACCCTACTGCAAGAAAAGGAAGAGGAGCATGGCTGATAAATGAGGTGTGTGTGTATATGTATGTGTCTGCATGTATGTCTGTGTGTGTGTGTGTATGTATGTGTGTATGTCAGTATGTATGTATATATCTATCAGTATGTATGTGTGTGTGTGTGTGTGTGTGTATGTCCGTATGTATGTATATATCTATCAGTGTGTATGTCAGTATGTCTGTGTGTATGTATGTATCTATCAGTATGTATGTATGTATGTCTGTATATATCAATCAGTA